GCTTGGTTTCAGGAATAGCTTGGACAAAAAAAGTCTTTGCTGAAGTAAGCAGAAAGGTTTTCATGATACAATCCATATTCTTAAAAACTGGTCACATGGCCCCAAACATATAAAACTCTGATTGGACTTGTACATTTATACTATTATAAGTCCCAAACCAAAAGGGCATACCTCTGAATGACTAGTTCAATATTTCAGAAATTTGCTAGTACTTATGTCCTCAGAAAGTCACTCGTGTTGGGCTTCTATAAAATTCGGGTGCAGCCCTACTATTGGGGTCATAAGCCCCGAGTCAAACTCTATTTAGTATTGGGATCTTAAGCCCCCAGTCAAGCTCTAATCTAGTTTCATATGTAATTTTCTGTGCAAGATCTAGACATATTCAGTCATGTTTGCTGTACAAAACGTTGAGAGGGAGATAATCTTAAGTCCCAGACTTTCTTCCATATCCTACAAAACAATACTATTATTATAAAGGAGCTTTAAAAAAATCTATTCATAAGTTTAAACGCAGTTAAAAGAAGAAAATAATGTTTACATTTCTTAAAGAAGAGCATAAATTTTAGCCAAAGGATTCGAATTGAGTGTAGACGAAACTTAATTTTTTTAAATTTTTTTTTTAGTATACAAAATGTAATCTGTAAATTATCCACGAAAGAAGAAAAAACATACATCGAAGAGAAAAACATACAACGAATACGTCCAACATCTCTGGTCACGACACTTAGCTATTTACCGCGGCATGATAAAACTAAAAAGTAGAATTTAACGACTGCTCGTCAACCATTGACCTGAGTCTAATTGCCGAAATGCCCTGCCCCAACACCCCAGATGCAGCTTTGTCAGATGGAAATAGATTCTTAAAAAGGAACGCACTTGTACTTGTAATTATGTCTGTTGAGCCGTCATTACCCCCAAGATTGGCATTATCACCCTGGTTCGCAGACCCATGGATTCAATAAATGACCAGTCAAAACGCTGCCTTTAACAGAAACCATGTCCTGTACAAGTAAAAGTAAAATAGGAGACGTTGGTTCAAGTGTACTTAGATCATTTAAACTTTATTGAAAAATATTTATTTACATAATATACTAACAATAACAAGAAGAAACCAGATGGGAAAAATGGCAATTTAAGAGTTTATGGTGGGACATACAGGGTTTGTCTGGTGAGAAGACCAGAGCTACGGTGTTTTTGTGGTGAGACATACGGGGTTTGTCTGGTGAGAAGACCAGAGCTACGGTGTTTTTGTGGTGAGACATACGGGGTTTGTCTGGTGAGAAGACCAGAGCTACGGTGTTTTTGTGGTGAGACATACGGGGTTTGTCTGGTGAGAAGACCAGAGCTACGGTGTTTTTGTGGTGAGACAAACGGGGTTTGTCTGGTGAGAAGACCAGAGCTACGGTGTTTTTGTGGTGAGACATACAGGGTTTGTGCGATGATACGGGGTGTGTGTAGTGACACATGATTTGTGTGGTGATACAGGGTTTGTGTGATGATATGGTGTGTGTTGTGGTTCAGTGGTACAGGGTTTGTGTGGTGATATAGTGTGTGGTGGTTCAGTGGTACAGGGTTTGTGTGGTGATACAGGGTTAGCGTGGTGATACAGGGTTTTGTGGTGAGACATACAGAGATGGAGGGTTCCAACAAGATTTGGCAGCCAGCCAACAGTAAGGAGCAGTGTAAATATGACAGGATCTATTCATGTATTGATTGTATGGACAGCCAAGTGATACAACAATCAGTTCACTCAATAATATAAATAATCAGAATCACAGAAAACAGAAAAATATGTTAATGTGCTGCTGCCTCAAGTCATGTGACACAAGCTATATATAGTAACACAGATTTTATGGTTTATTTACAAAGACCAGACTATAAGTATAAAAAAAGGGGGGAGGGGGGGGGGTTTGCACAAATCTAGTGGTTCTCAGAAAGGTCAGAACAAATATAAAATTGAGAGACAACTCTTGAGAGTGTCACATTTTTGAATGGAGACAAGAGGGGGAGGGAAATATTTCTTGACAATGCCAAATTAAATTTGTAATAAAATGTGCAAGCTTGTGGACAATTTTTGAATCAAAAATGATTTTCTTAAAAAAAAATTAATTTAAAAAAAAATAATAATTTTTTTTTGGTCCTTAAAAAAAATATTTAAAAAAATGAAGTTCCTCATTTAAAAAAACACTGCCAAAAAAATAAGTCAGTGGAACAAAATAAAATTTCTCTGTTGGTTGCAACTGTGTTGGATTTTCATTAGCAGATGGTCCAGATCATTTTTTAAAACCCAATTTTATTAGCCATCTGCTTACTGAAACAACGGACTGTCAGTTGTTTAACAGAAGTGGTGGATTGTGATGTGGGGAAAAAAATTGAAATCAAGAATGCAAGTTTGCCTCTTATCATAACAATCCATTAAAAAGTTATAACATTTCAACATAAAGGAATAAAATCATGACATGCTCTTGATTAAAGCCATAATTATACATAGACTTAGACCAAATGTATCGGCATCAAATAACAATCACAAACCACCCAGTCCTCTCAAAGCAATAACAATTAGAACCAAATTTAACTTAAATTTAAAACAACATTTAAAAGAAACAAGACCCCCCCACCCCCAACCAAAAAAAAAACAACAAAAAACAACCATTGAGGTAACTGACCCTGACAGTTATACTATACTGACCATGACAGTTATACAAGTACTGACCATGTACTTTGAATTTGTTGAACATCAATGAATAATTCTTTGTTCATGATATCAATAATATTTAAGTATGACATAATTAAATTTATATATAACCTAATTTAAGTTAGGAATCTGGTTTTAGCCAGGTGAGAATTTGATTAAATGAGACATGAGGACAAATAAAGCCAATGATAAGTTTCAAGGCAACAGGTTAGGTCGGTCCATTTATCAGATTGCATGCAAAAAAGGTTAGGTCAGGCTATCTATCAGAATGCACGCCGTTTGCAGGCAACAGGTTAGGTCAGTCCATCTATCAGATTGCACGGTTTGCAGCACAAGTAATATACTCAAGTCGGTGGTAAACACTCTCCTGCGGTAGTTGGTGTGGCGAGACATACACTGATACAGACTTTGTCTGCAGAAACCCAGCATCACAATACATTCGATGGACCAAAATTGTCATCACATAAATGACAAGAGAACAATCAAGATTGAAGTGGTCTGCCGCTTCAGCCAGTGTAAGCAACATCAATACTGGCACAATTATTCTTGAGCACAACAAAAGCTTGCAAAAGCCTCAGGTCACGAACGAGGTTGTACAGGGAGCAGTTAATGTTGCACAGAAATAAATAAATGCACTGCTGTTTTGGAGGGACACAGCTAGACGCAGAGGGCCAACTTTTGATATACCAATCTGATGGCTAAATATGCACATCACAACGTCCTCGAGCCCAATGTTTTACATAGCTTTCAAATGAGAAAAGAGGAAGAAAACATGCCAGTATTATTTAATGAGAATTAATAAATAGGAAATTGGTGTGGGACCATATTTAAGTTTGGAAAAATCTGGGCAAAAAGCTAAAAAAAACAAGAAAAAAAAACTTGATTGAATTAATCGTAAGCTTTTTAGCAGCTTGAAATTTTCTTCTTTATAACCCATTCAACCGTGGAGCATTAATTCAGAAACTGTATCCATTGAAATCCCACCAAAGGGAAACAACAGCCTATTTACAGTTGATAGGTGTTTTTTTTTACAAAAAAAAAAATAAATAAATAAAAAAGGTTCTAAACCAATTTATTTTGTAAGGCATTTATATGCAATAATTTGCCTGTCATTAAACGCTTTTGTTGAGCACATTCTTAACATGTCAAACTGTGACAAACACTCATGATAAAAACCATTTGAAAAAAATGCCATGAAAATAATGACTAACACTCGCTAATGGATAAAGTAAATATTTGTAATTAATCTCCTTGGTCTTGCATATTGAAACCCTTTCATTTTGATGGCATGCTTTCAGCTTTCTAATACAGATGTGCAAAAAGCGTGTCGAGCGGCCTGATATAAATTATAAATACTTCAGAGTTTCCGAATGGCTAGCATGCGACGTGTTGAATAAATGGGGAGACACATTTAAAATGCAACATTGTTCTATTTAAAACTCATTTTTGTAGCAGCTTAAGTTTTAAAAAAATTCAAAAACAATTTAAAAAAAAACAAATAAACCAACAAAAACAGCACAATAATAAGTCGGTGAAACATACAGAAACCGTTTTAAAAATTACTTTCATTGACATATAACAATCTTTTATCCAATAACTTTGATTTAAGACATATTACTGCGTGACAATTTAAAAAAAAAATATGTGCTTTTAAAATTGTTTTTTTCTTTTAAATAGTTAAACCAAAATATTTGAAGGTCTGGATTAAATCTGAGAGCTGAAAAATAGGAACTATTCATTGCTTCAGAAAAATGGAAATCCCAAGACTACATGGCATCTTTATGTACCACAGATGACATCATGTCAAAGCAACCTAATTATCCCAGACCATCTACAGGTCATACATTCATATATGTTGTGAAGTTGATAACTCATCTTTAGCCTCAGATTGTCCCTGTAGGCCCTCTTTTAGTTTAGGATACTTGTTTGGCACAACCCCCTCCTCATCCCCAGAATGTCTTCGCTTGCTTGCAGAGACACTCGTTTCTTCTGTCACCTTGTCAACCAAAATCACACTTCCACCTGTCATTTTGTCATCCAACAATACAGCTTCATGTGTGGTAACTTTTGTCTTTGCAGTCAGCTCATCGCCAGTTTTGTGTGCGTCCATCAACTCTGAGTTGCCATTGGTAATATCAGGTGTTGTGTTGTTTACTTCAGTAAACAGACCACACTCCTTGTCCACAATGGGAATGACTGAGGTCCTATCCTGTTGACTGATCTTCTCATCAAGCTTCACATTAGAAGTTAACTTTTGACTCACAACACTTTGGTGGGATGCTCCCACCTCCTTGCTGTGACTGACCTCAGCAACAGCTACTTCATGTTGAGTGTCTTGACCGGCATCAGTTTGCCTTGCAATGCTCACTGACACTGGGGGCTCTAACCCCTGCTGTGTCACAGGAGCCAGTACAGGATCCACCATTTTCTTACCACAAGGGGATTGAGATGCCCTAACACTGTGATGTTTTCTTCTCTCACTCTCAGTCCGCGACTTGTCATGTTTTCTCGATGAAGATGGTGCATGTTCTTTAGAATGCTTGGAAGTATTTCCGTTGATATGTTTCGCTGATCTGCCTTTGTCAGGCGATGAAGGTTTATGTCCAGTTAGAGACTTTTCATCTTTAGTAGACATTGTTCCATCTTGGGAGGACTTTGATAAGCTTGAGCTGTCTTTGTTGGATTTACTGTGGGTGCTCACATGCTTCTCCTTCAGGACATCGCCGCCTGATTTACTCGTCTTTGTTTCAGTTTTAGGTGGATTTATGCTTGTGGACAACTTTTCAGATTTATTTTCGACAGGTTTCAATTTACTCGTATCATTTTTAATGACTCCATTCTTTGAAGAGCTGCCCTTTGAAGTGTTCCCATGCTTGGAATCTGCCACCCTTGATTTACTACCGTCTGGCTTAACCTCGCTGGCTTTGACAGACTTACCACTAGTGCTGGCGCTTACATTCCTGCTGTCGTCTGTCACACCCGATGATTTTCTATGGGATTTGTTGTCATCCTTCACTTTCCCCTGGGATGTTTTGTGTTTATCTGTTGCCTGTTTGTGTTTAACTGCTGACTGATTTGTTTCGCTGATCTGGGCAACCACACTTGATTTCATAGGGGCCAACATACTTGATTTCAAATCAAATTTTGTCTTCTTGTCTTTCTCAGATCCACTGGCCTCTTTCGGTTCACTCTTCACAGCAAAGTTATTTTTATCTTTAGCTGGCGGTGTCTTCTCCTCCTTGACGTGGGTGGTTTCCTTAGTGTGATTACAAGCAGCCTTCTCAGCTTTGGGCACAACAATTTTGTCTTTAGACGGTGTCGATGAACCTTTCTCTGCTAATTTGCTGCTTTTCTCACCAGTTTTTGACTTGTATGGTTTATTTTTCTCTGGTGTTTTCTTCTCATTCCTGTCACCACTGACATTGCTGTGCTTGTTTTTTAGTTTGACAGCATCAGTGTTGTTGGTGCTGATATCTTTATGTTTTGCAGGTGTTTTCAATGGGACCTCATCAGGGTCGATGACAGACACTTTGGCTGGAGATGTCTCTGTTGGTGTAAAGGTTGACGTCTGCTTGACCGGTGACGCACAATTATTGGGAAGCTCAGAGGGTTCAGTTTTCATTGACTGGTCTGTACTGGTCACCTCTTGTTTTTGATTGTCCTTGGCTTGTGGTGATTCAGCTGACTGGAACAAGTTCTTGTAGTAGATTTTTAACCTGTTCAAACAAGAAATTTGACAACAAATGTTTAACCTGAGTGCATAAATCTTAACAGACCCTTATAAACTACATAAAACTCCACCACTATATAATACAGCGGTTCTCAGCATGTTATTGTGACCCCTCTGTGGCGCGTATGACCTTTACACAAGGGTCGCCTAAACCATTGGAAAACACATATTTTTGAGGCAGGAAAGAAAATAATTTTACGGTTGGGGGGTCTCCACAACATGAGGAACTGTATTAAAGGGTCACGGCATTAGGAAGGTTGAGAGCCACTGATCTAATATTATAGTTCAACAATTACATTTCCTAAAGATTTCCCCCCAAATGAATCAAGCCTCATGCTCTCTTAGGACCGTTAAGATCAGGTTGATGCTCCCTTTGGGACAAGATGCCATTTTTCTTTGTACACAAGCCACTTTTATTTTCAAGTTCTCTTCCAGGCACACACACAACCCCCCCCCCCCCCCCCCCCCCCAAATTATCTGAAAGAAGCAAATAACTATGAACACATGTATGGCAGCCATTAAAATGGGCAGATGAAGCGATATGGTGCCAATTCGCTCACCTCTGCAACCCTAGTTCCCAGGACCAAACGTTTTACTTGTTTTAAAAATACAAAAAGCAACTTTCACAATCCTATTTAAAAAAAATTCTCAATTACAATTTAACCTGATTAAGTTAAATATCAGGCTTGCAAGATAGAGAAGAGCTTCTAAAATAACTCTCTATAAAGTAGTGACCTTATGTGCCAGGCAATGCTTGTAACAGCGGATACAGATCTAAACTGGTGGATGACATTTCGTGGAATGAAGTAAATGTCATTGTCTCTCAAAGTGACACGTGCGTAGCGTATGCCATCCCGACGAAGCTGATTTAACTTCGCATCTTCCACCCAGGCGACACACTGAAATGGAAAGACAAATAATAATAATAATAAAGTTTATTTCAAAAACACGCTTCATCCCCAAAGGCTCGAAGCGCGGTACAAAGTCAACAAAAAAACAAATCTATAATTTACCACATTTAATACAAACGCAACACTGCAAAAACTAATTACAAGCATACCAAGTCAAAGTCTTTCTATAAATAGGTCAAACTAGAGATGTTAAAAATAGATATAAAAGATATGATCATGCATAGGTCTTTATTTTGCTCCTGTATCCCTTAATTAGACTTTTTATTTATGAGTCAAAACAGCCCCCCCCCCCCCCCTACACCCGATCATCCCTAAAAAGTATTTAACAATAGATAAGCTAAATAATCGAATGAAGCAGATAAAGCTAATGACAATTATAGGATTTAATTGTCTGTTTTACAGGTTATTTGAGTTTCTTTTTTTTACAAATAAAAAAATATTACCCAAGTAACTTTTAATAAAAGTAAAATAATTATTCATTAACGTTGTGACAACAATTGTTCATCTAGTATGCAGATGGTTGAATCTGGCTCTTAATAAATTTATATTCGTCCTCTTTCATGGATCATATTTTTAAAAAAAAATCAGGTGCCAGTGAAGACTGATATAACATCAAGTCAAGAGCTGCGCCAACCTTATTGTGACATTTATCCTTAATTTATGTATAAGATAAGTATGCTCCTTCGCCAACCACTAAATAGTAAAAATTAGCTTCTAGTAATGTAGCTAAAACAAATCTCAAAAATAAACATTGCAATATAAATTTGAGATAAAACGATATTTTTAAGGTTTGCCAATTTTCACAAATCTAATACTTGATTACATTGTAAGGAAAAGTGGTTCCAAAAGTTTATGCAAGCTGCGCAAAAAAGGGCTTCGCAAAATATTAGAATAACTTTCATTTTAAAGAGATAGGACACAACATTTAGATGACCTGGGGAAAACAAGTAACGCACTTACAAATCATTGTTTGCACAAGCCTGTACTTATGGTTACTATAGAGAGATTTGTGATATTTTATATATCTTTCTTTTCATCTAACCCACATTTTAAAACACATATTCTTCTTTACTTTGCAGTTTACTTGTGAGAATTAGACAGAGGGCATTTTGAAGAAACAACAACTGATCAGCAAGGGTGCTGGATCATAAAGTTTGGGAACCATTAGTAAATAGGATTGTTGGCACTTGATATTTCCTCCTACTAAAGGATACAGTTAAAATGCCTATTTTAGTGACAACCTGTGAGGCAAGAAGTTCATGGAGATTAAAGTCATGATAACAACCTGTGAGACAGGCCATTCATGAAGATTTAAGAGATAGTGACAGCCTGTCAGATGGGAGATTCATGGAGATTTAAGACATAGTGACAACCTGTGAGACAGGAGGTTCATGGAGGTCCAACTGCAGTAGGTCAGTCAGCTGGGCAAAGTCCCCAGGGTGGAAACAGATGACATCTTTAACAATACGGCCTTCAGGGGGATCGTATTCATCACTGAGGATACAAAGGGAATTTAAAAATATAAAGTCAATAGAATGTATCCATCAAAAGGAACAGAAATGTAGGGTGAATTATTAGAAAAGATTTCAGAAGAAATTATCAAAAAAATTATCAATGGGATTAAATACACTAATCAAGTCTAATTATTTTAAAATGGACTTTAGTTTAAATCTGAGCGCTGTAACCCAAATTATACCAATTTCTATGATAAATATGCTGGATTTTAAATTGATACAGTAGTTAAGAAAAATTATTTTAAAAAAATATATAATTTTATATATATATAAAAAAAAGAATTCAAATAATGTATAGGAAAAATATTAGCCATTTGATTTTTACAAAATTTAGCTGAAAAGGATCTTTTTTTCCCTTCAGAAAGCTTTGAATTCACTAACCAAGTGTGGGTTTCAAATAAGGGAGGTCATTCAATTCAAAATTGGCATAAACAGATTTTAGAGTTTGAAATTTACCAAAACATATAGATGACTTACTTATCTCCTCTTTTGTGTACTGCTTTCAACATTCCCACTGCAGCAGTTGTCATTCTATCTGGTCCATGATCTACATGGTCAGCATGACATCGGGTACGATCCTCAAACAGAAACTCTCTGGGCTCAGAAGCACGTGGCAAGTAATGAAGATTCTTTAGTTCATTAGCTCCCCTAGAAACATTTAAATAAGAAAAATAAATATAAAATTTTGTTTTAAATAATTCATCTTACCCCTGTGTGCAAGCTACCTGTGTGCAAGCTATCTGAGTTTTATAATTTTGTTTTTGTTCATACCTTCAAAAGCACTTTTTAAAATAATTCTGTTTACATAGACTTGATGATTTGTGTCAATACAGTTCGGGGGGGGGGGTGGGGGAGGAGGCATTTTTAAATTTAGAAATCTGATTTAAATCCAACTGTCAGTTTCTATCAGGCTTCATATCAATATATTTGAGGTGCTTTCATAAAAGATCGATGAAAACCAGAAACTTTGCATCAAAATGAGCGCTGTGACAACATATTGTACATTTCATTTGGCGACTACGTTTTTGTTCATGTCGTGGTCCGACGCTCGTGCGTGGTCCGACTCTCCACAAGCTTGGGTGGTCAGACGGATTACGTCAGGCGCCGTCGTACGGATTACGTCAGGCGCCGTCGTGGTCCGAACTCTCCACAATATGCAAAAAAAAAAAAAACCCCAAAAAACCCCACCCACATAATTTTAAAAACCAATATTGCATTTGTCATCCCTAGTTTTATTTCAATAAATAATAAAACTTGTAAAGCGGAATTTAAGAAACAGTTCATTTTTAATCCCTTAATGTGGCGCCTATAAAAATTAACCAATCAGGGCAGTTACAATTTGAAATCCAGCAAGGAAGAATTTAACTTTTGAAATAGTAAAATTACCGTTTTCTTTTCGTCGGAGACTTTGGCATTTCAGCTGGTGGAATCATCTGTTCACCTGGACGAGTCCATAGTATAGGACCATCATCACTTTCTTTTCGAGATTTCATTTTCTCTTTTGACAGACGACCCCATGGTGTCACAGCACGAATAAAAGGGTCGGATTCAAGTTTGTCCAGGAAATCTGGGAAAAAATCCCCTACCTCCTCATTGACTGTGCCAACAAGACTAATTTGATCCAGACCGCCGCCACGGAAAACTCCACCCTTGTAAGTTTGATCAATCTGCAACATAAATACAATATTCCTGTGTCAGTAGAAAAAAAGGGCTCAATTGTTTAGTATTTACTAAAATAGCAAGGGTTCTTATACTTTTTAACAGGTAGCCTAGTGAATAGAAACCTACTAATTCTCAATCTTACAGGGGAAAAAAATATTTTTCTCCATTAAATTGGGTTTTTTCATGCAAGATCAGTGACAAGACTAGAGCTTTTATCAGAAATGGGATTTAGTGCGAATAACTCCATATTTTCAATATTTAATAGGTGACCTCAAGAAAAAATAAAAAAAATCTTTTAATGTTTGACCTAGATACGTTTTATATTTTCCCTCAGAAATGAAGTGAATTATTATTTTGCACTCCGATGTAAAGGTGCTTTAAAATAATACCCCCTATTGGATTTGTTTGTACCAGCTATTGAAATGGACATCATGATAGGGATTGGCGCTACAACATTAAAAAAATATAAATAATAACTTTGAACACAACACCATCAAAATTACAATATGGTGAAGCCACACTACTACTACCAATTAAAAACTGAAAGGTTGTTAATTAAATATTGTTTTTAACTCAGAGACTTTCTAATTGTCACGTAGATGATAAAAATAATTAAAATGGTTTATTGCTTATTTTTTAAAGTTGAAATATATTAGCTTTTGAACTTTTATGAATATGTCTTATAAGATATTTATTTACCTCCTTTCTTAATCAGAAAAAAAAAATTGTTAAGCTTTAAAACTAAATCCCTAGCCTTAATTAATTTATTATATATTTTATTATTAAATTCTTCTTGAAAGGAGTACAATTCACAGAGAACTATTACTGACACCGGCAAACACGTTTTTGCAAATTAGGGCATACCCGTCTTACTTTATTTAATCTTTGATTCTGTATGGTGTTTAAATAACCATTAACTGTAAATATGTAAAGTATTTTTTTCAAACATGGCAGGAGTCTAATTTTCACAGAACTGAACTATTATACTTTATAGCAACTAGGTTGTAATTCTTACAAGGTAAAACAATTATTCACATGTGTACCTAAGAATTGAAAATAAGACTATTTGAATAAAAATAAGTAGGATAGTACCAACCTGCTCTCTAAATTTTTCAATAGTAGTTGTCTCAATATCAGATTTTCCTTTGTTGCCAGTTTTTACCGTAAGATGCGGGTAATGTTCAACTAAATAATCTAGAAAATCTGGCATTGGCCGAGCTGCACTGTGCACGATTCCCATGACAAAACGACTTTCACCCTCTTTCTCCTCCCCAAACATTAAGTCAAAGTAATGGTCTACAAATTTCTCCATGCTTTTACTATCCATTTCTGCAAGTTCATCATGATAAGCATGCAAAACAAATGCCCCACCATTAGTATATCTTTCAACATGAATGTATTTTCTGAACTGTGGTTGAATGATGTCCTCAAAATAGTTTTGACACATATTTAAGCGGTAAAGTGTATTTACATAACTCATAGGGTATTCAGGCTTGAATGTAGATGGATTTATCAGGCTAAAGTCATCTGTTTGAACGCTGCGGTTTGACTTGGCATGTTTTGAAGATGAATGTTTATGATCTCTATGAGAACTCCTTGATGATTTGGACGAAGATGTTGATGACGATGGCTTAACAGATGAGTGATCTTTGCTTGACTGAGATTTGTGCTTTTCACTTCGATGAGAATTACATGTTGAAGTATGGCTCGGTTTAGATTGACTTGTTGACGAAGGCAGCAATGATGAAGCTTTATGTTTAGTAGAATTTGATGAATGATGTGTGCCATCTTTGCTTGATGTGAGGGCAGATTTATCTTTGGAAGATGCATGCTTAGCTGCAGCATCATAGCTTGAAGACACTAATGATGACTGATTTATGTTAAGGTTTTTAGTTTCATTTTTTTGTTTCTTATCAGCACAGTGTGAATTGTCTATAGATGAGGTATTGCTTTTTGAAATTTTGTTTAAAAAGCCAGCTTCCTGCTTAATGGCCTCAGAATTTATATCACATTTATTATCAGCAGTAATTGAACAGTCCAAAGTTTCATGCAATCCTTTTTCAGTTTTAATTATCTCATTCAAGTTTACTTTATTATTAGTATCTGGCTTAAATCCTTCATCAACTATTTCATGACCATTTTCTTTCATAAATTGTTGATGATTATCTTCTGATTTCAACCTTAGTTCTGGTTGATCAACATGACCCATGGGTTCAATGTGAACCATTTTCTCATCCTTGCTGTCCTCATGAAGATTTTTTATATTTACTGACAATATATCTGAATGGTTAAGACAGACATCATGCTTGTCTACAGGTGCTACAATCACTGGTATTGGTAAAATACTATTAACTCTTTCATTGATGTTATCATTTTTAAAATCATTATTTATTGCCAGTTGTTCCACATTAGTTTTAAAATTTGCATCCTCATTTATTCCATTGAAAATCTCTTGATTGCAAATGTTACTATCAAAATTGTCTACTGAACTTTTGGAATAAATAGGTGCATCAAAGTGCTCATCATTAACATTGACAGAAAGAGATTTGGATTTCAATGCAGCTTTTAATGGATCCCGAATCAATATTTTTAGTGGTGAGATCTGCAACAACTCACGTTCACCATCCATATGGTCACAATTACTTTCATGTTTCCTAGTAGAGTGCTTCTTGTGTGGGGAGTTATGATGGTGGGTGTGATGTCGATGATGGTGATGCTTTTGGTAGCTGTTGTTTTCTTGACTGTGGGATGTACATGTGCTGGAGTCTATCTTGATCTCATCACCTTCTTGACATTTATCTGTTTTAGCAGCAACTGAAAGAAATATAGATTAACAAATGAGATGTTGCTTAAACAAAAGAAAGCTTTTAAAGAAATTTAGGCTTATTGTAAAACCTTTAAGAATCTTGGAGTGTACAATTTTTGAGGGAGAAGAACCCCTTAACATTTATCTTAAAAATGGAGCAAAGGTGGTCACCAAAGACCAAAGTCAAAGATTGCAAACCACAAATAAGAAAAGTTTTTTAAAACCTCATAGCCTTATAACTAGAATTTGTCCCTACTACTACTATTACTTGTAGAAGAGAAATTTCAGTATAAGTTAAGTCTGATGAGTTAAATAAGCTAATAAGTAGGCTACTAACAGTCTTACTAACAGATATAATAATAATGCTTTTTGAAATGGTCCTTTTAATTAAACCATTTATTTAAATAGACAAAATAAGCCTATGCCTAAACCATACCTGAAAGTGAAAGCTCCGGAGAAGAAGGTACTATTGCAGCTTTTGTATTGAAACTATTCACTACCACTGGAGATTTTGCTGATGGTGATACACTTTTACCTCTGCCTGGTGATATTGGCAGTATGTCTGCATCAGTTGGGGAGGTAAATCTAGTATCCTTTCCTTTTTCATAATCATCCACATATCCAGAACAAGATAATCTGCGATAATCATGTTGTATTCGCCTTCGTTTACTACCTTCGGGACTTGTGTGTTCGGACTGCTCGCCAGCAGGTGGCGAAGAGCTGTAAAAAGCGTTGTAGTTGCTATAGTTATGAGAGAGATTTTGAGGTATTTGTAATTTCAAACGTTTTGGGCTAGGTTCATCCAATAATTCAACTTTTTCCTGGTTAGCTTCGTATTTAATAACTTCAGCCGAATGACCCTGTTTCAATCCTACGTGACAAAACACATGTTTCACTTTTTCGGAACCACTGCAGATGCAGGTTTCCGAGTCTGATGCCTGTTGTACAGTTGGTGATATATCTGAATGAATAATTACATTATTGTCGCAATTAGCGGCGACACAGCTAATGTCTTTTGATAAGTCCTGATCAAATTTTGGATCTGTATTCTGTACAATAACATTAATTTTAGCCATGTTTGACGAATCAAAATTATTTTCAGCATTTTGTAAACAAATTTTTGGATCGTCGGCCATGTTGAATTGGCCTGCCAATGGTGGTTGTGTGAATTGTTAAAAAAGATATTTTTTGATTGGATGAAGAAAAAATTCTGAGAGGATTCCCCATTTTCAAACCAATGAAAGTAGAGGTACCAAATATAATTTTATACTTTAAAACATCAATACGCATGCGCAAGAGATTATTTTTCTCACTCGCGGAAGTTTTAATGTTCAAAATCAACTTGCCACTTAATGTACCTAAAATACAATAGGCAACAAATAATACTTTAAACAAATGTATAAATAAATCATTCATATTAAGTTTGAAGTAGCAACTTCAGAAAATACTTCATTCAGTTAAGGATAACTGCATGTTTAATGTTAGAGAATAGTAATAAAAAAAAGTATCAGGAATTTATTTTAGTATTCAGAGCAAAAAAAGAGAAATGCTTTTTTTACATCAAATTCTAACTCTTTTATTATTGTTGAGCATGAGGTTCCATTTTTATTATGAAGATAAAATACCGAAAATACAATACAACCACTCCTTACACTGATTTTAGACAATAAAATGTTATTTTTACACGTTATTAGTAAAAACGCTAAAAGTATCTGGCCATCACCGCCGTACCACTACCAAAGGTGCGTATGAAAACGAAAGCGGAAGAAGTTTTATGAAAAGAAGTATTCCATCCACCCGTCAAGAGAGTAGCGTTAGTGTTAACAAGAAAGACGTGACCTAACTAACAAAGCTATTCTCAGGTAGGCGCTTACGTTTGAACAAATACAACAGAAAATGCCAGCCTCGAAGGCTAAGGAAGCTAAGCTTGATGTGTCCGATGACAAAAACACTACGTTAGATGTCAGCACAACACAAACTGCTCTTGAAGACATAGACGCATGCCAGACGGATATTGATTTGCTGAATGAAAAAGCAAGTGAAGAAATTTTAAGTGTAGAACAGAAGTACAATAAGCTCAGGAGACCCCATTACAACAAGAGAAATGAGATGATTCAAAAGATTTCAAATTTTTGGTACACTGCTGTATCCTTTTACTTGTATTTGCAATACTAAATTACATACCATCATCCTTATTTGGTAAAAGTACTAAAAGGTAGTAATTAAAGTAATTTCAAGTAATAGAATTTAAATAATTTATAATATTGTAACTTTAACTATAGTTATTTTATAGGCTAGTATAGGCCTACAAAATCAGATATCCTTGAGTCTTGAGCCGCCTTAACATTTTAAGTGACTCTTAGGGTAGCCTAATCATAGTCATAGACTATAATATTAGGCTTAGAATCGAAGTTAAATTAAATTTTGGGTACAAATTGCATTAAATTAATGCCCTTCTGCCCCACACTCTAATTACGAACTAATTTAGGCCATTATTTATGTCATTGTTATGCATATAGAATGCTTTTACACCAAATTTGGATAGGCATAGGCCTACATTTTACTTTTGAAGTGGGTTAGTGGCTGCCTACACCACAGCAAAAAATTACAACTTTGGGGCTGATCTTTAGATACAGTACAGCTGTTAGATTTGAACTTGCACAGTCTTGTGGTGTAGAGTAAACACTAGGTGATATCCTGCTTCAGGAGGTGACAGTATCAGAGCTACTCCTTCACTGCGTGTGGCATCTTCTTATTCATGACCAGAGTATTAAATGGTCTCTTCGAATGTTAGGTTAGAACCATTTCCTGTCCATCTTGCCTCACTTATTCCTAAGATGTCTACTCTGTATCTTCTCTGTCTCATAGTTAATTGTTTTGTCTTCCCCTCCTCCCACATCCTTCTAGCATTCCAGGTGCCAATCCTGGAATATTCCTGCCCTCAGTGACAAAAAGGAAGTCGGCATGTCAGTTCCCTTATGATACATCTCCCTCCCACCCCCTGAAATAAAAAAAAAAATTCTTAGCAAAAAAAAATATAGGAATGTCGTTCCCATCCATTCTTGCTGGACTCAAGCCCTGCACACAATAAAAATACAAGTACTGCCTTTGTTTAATCTTGCTGGTATTAAATGATTTAAAAAAAACAAATAGTTTTAACAAAGTATAACATTAATTTTAAATAAGTACCGGTTGGCCAAAGAGTTAAAGACAGGCTAAAGTTAAAGCCATGGTTTTGCTGCGGCCAATAGTGTTGCTAGGTACATCCATGTGGTGTATGTAGTGTTTGCCTTTTACTTTTATGTAGGATTACATAATAGTAAGAAGGATTAGGAACTAACCTAATTACTAAATTTAAAAACCTGTTTAGTTAAAGCCTATACGCCACTATGCTATAAGTTAGTGTCCAGGACTTTGAATAATGAAAGAAAAAAGTAAGATTTTAATTGGTAAAAATGATTTGAAGTGCACAATGCCAAAAAGTTGGAGATTTTCTATTTCTGCCTTTTGCAGACAACATACAAGAATAGTTGATTGTTAAAGCAAAAGGTGGCATAGTGTAATGTTGTTTTTCCTTAAGTTTGACCTTAGTTTGTAAATCATCCACAAATTTCATCTATATTAACAAGTGAGGAGGAGGAATGTCTTCAAAATCTGACCAGCGTAAGTAACTGCTTTAATTTTGGTTTTTGGGTATACTGAATGTCTTTTTTTTATTGGAATCTGCATAGTTATTTCAAAGACATAGTGTAGTATACATGTACTGTATTGCAGTATGCTATATTGATCATTTAAATGCAATTAATTTTAATCTCTATCATAGTATAATAATTTTTGTTTTATCATGTACAACACCTGTATAAAAACACTAATCCTTTGTTTCATTACAACAGGTTGACGTTGAGGAGTTTGAGGATATCAAGTCTGGATACAAAGTTACATTTACATTTAAAGACAATCCATTTTTTACTAATGACAAGCTTGTCAAAGAATTCCACCTAGCAACATCAGGTAAAAAAAAACTTGGTTATAATAAGTTATATCATATTATATTAATAAAACCTTAGATTTTAAAGAAAAAAACATTTTAAATTCATTCATAGTCTAATTAGTTTTACTCCCAGATTATTGTCTTATCAAATAGTGGAAAGACAGCACCAAACTTGCCATGGGAATAAAAATGTGTTTGCCTAGGTTAGTCTTACCAGCTGCTGTAATAAATAAAAAAAAAATAGTATAAATTATTTTTAAATAAATTCTCCAGATATAATATTGGTCTTAATTATTTCAGAGCTTCTTATGTTGGGCAAAAATTTTGATATCAGCCTCCTATATACCCTTTTTAAGAAATGTTAACCAAATAAATATGAATTTCAGTCTTCCAGAGTCCTTCCTTCATTACCGTTACCTATAGTAGCAATAAGTGCATAATGGCCTTTGTTATTGTTAGAGTGCCTTTTCGACACTCTGTGCACATGCTAATGGTACAATTTATGGCTTGCCATTTAGTAGTGATATACTGTAATGAAAATAATAATCTTTGCCTAAGGTGAACCTCAATCAAAGTCTACACAAATAAACTGGAAAGATGGAAAGGATCTCTCAAAGAAAACAAAGTCTGCCACAAATGGTCGCAAACGGAGAGTGGGATCAGCCAGCAGCTTCTTCTCTTGGTTTCTTGACAACATGGATCCTAATGCAGATGAAATTGCAGAGGTCAGTGATTGTATTTATCTTTTATGAAATATGTTGAGTACATCAAAATCCAAATGACACTACTCTTTTTTTTTTCCCTCCAGAACTGTCAAAGGATTATTTGTTTACTTTTAACCATTGCTCTTTAGGTAATCAAAGATGACATGTGGCCTAACCCACTTCAGTATTATCTGGCTTCGGAACTAGGAGTCAGTAGTGACCACGGAGACAGGTAAGTACAGCATATGCTATGGCATAATGTTTCTATCAGGTTAGATATTACAGCTGTTTGAAAACAAAGCTAGGTGAATTTTTCAATAAAACTTTATAACTACACTTAGCAACAAGAAAAATGCATGATACCCTCCCCTTAGCTTTGGATCCATTTTTAACATGCTTGCAGCCCCTGTAGGTGGAAATACAACTTTTAAAATGAAAACAGCTTCTTTGAAGTGTTATTTTTCTCAAATTTTGAATTTGTACGCAGATGAATGGCAATTTTGTCAAATATGGACTCAGATGATTAACTTGATAGCAATTATTTTATTCCTGTATTGTATTTAAATGCAGCAAAATATTTATTTATGTCTTAAAAAGGTTATTAAGTTTACGTTTTTTTTTTATTACCTTATGATTCACAGTTTTGGGGGGGGGGGTCTATCTAAAGGGCATGCGATGGAACAAGATTAACAGATCAAGTTTTAGGGCTTATTTAAACAAAAAGTTTGGGTTTCTATGTCTTAAAAAGGTTATTAAGTTTACGTTTTTTTTTTATTACCTTATGATTCACAGTTTTGGGGGGGGGGGGTCTATATAAAGGGCATGCGATGGAACAAGATTAACAGATCAAGTTTTAGGGCTTATTTAAACAAAAAGTTTGGGTTTCTGATAGGGGTGTGCCGGAATCTGGTTCCGCCGGATTTTGCACTATCCGGTGAAATCCGGTTCCGTCGGATTTACATGTATCCGGAACAACCGGAATCCGGAATATACCGGATTTCTGAATTTGCCAGATTTTGTGACTCACCGGATCATAATCTGAAATAAAAGTAATTGTCTTTCCCGAATTCCACACGATCACGATACATTAATCGATTGTTTCGAGCGTTGAGCTTGTTTAATATTCCGAACATACCAGAGGCTAGAGTCAGCACAGCTAATAGTGGCCAATCGGCCCAATCCCATACATGATAGTGCGGGGATGAGTAATTATTATTCGTGACGTCATCTTAACCGCAATCACCAATGACGCTGTAACAGAAATAATAAGCAACTATACTGCCCAAGCGCCTGGCCGCAAGCCCGCCACCTTACCGAGCACGGCAGACGACCATCAAATTGCGTCAAGCCAGCAGGCCTGTGCTGACCTAGCCTATCTATGAATACTTTTAGGGACACACACTGATCGACCTGACGTCAGTCTGCTTAGCAATTAGTCATTGGTGCAGAGATATAGATTACCCGTACTGCCCCGCGGAGCTGTCTCCTCACCAAGCATAATAATAATAACAACAACATAGAAACTTATTATGCGCCAAAATCCGGAAGAAACCGGAATCCGGATTATTCCGGATCCGGCGGATTTCGCATAAGAAAATCCGGATGGAAAAAACGGATCCGGCACACCCCTAGTTTCTGATTACATGTTGATAGTGTAATATGCTATAAAATACTGTAGATATATTTTCTGTTACAAAATAGTAAAATGTTCATTTTGTTCCCCACAGCGAGGACGAAGATGACGATGATGATCAGGATGAATCAGCAGTTATAGTTGGAGATGACAGCGACGATGAACCTGGTAAGTCCAATAATCTAGCAAATTTTTCACCTAATATTTTAACAAAATAACTTTTTTAATGGTTGATTTGCAATGCTACATAACTGAAAAAGTTCACTGACATTATCATGAGAGCATTTTTTTTTTAAACTGAAGGTTTTTATCTTCATTAGTTTTTACGTAACTAGAGTTAGAAAAAATTCAGCATGGTATTCCAAGCTCATGGGTAAGGTTGCTGACAAGTTTATATGATAATTATTGAGCAGATATAGTTAAAATTTAATAAAGTTAATGTAGAGAGTGCTGTTGATGATCCTAAAGTTCAAGATATATCTGAAACTGACATTAAAATTAGTAATCATAGTTGATGCTGGCAATGGTGACCATAGTGTTTGCCAATTAAACTTATGAAAATGTAATGACATTTGACTTGTAAAAACATATACTGATTCATCTTAAGATATTATATAGACAGGTTACTTTATAAGAAACCAAAATAATTTATTACGACGATTATTAGTGATGGGACGATTAATCGGAATCGTATCGGAATAATCGAAATATCAGGATTTTTACAAAGCATCTGTAATCGGTATCGGAGCTGAATAATTCAGACCTGATTCCGATACCAAAACGATTCTTAACTGATTAACTGCCGTAAGCAGCAGTTATTAAAATTAGAACAGAACAGAAATATCAAGGTATCTAACATTTAAACTGATTGCAAACAATGAGAATCCTCTTGGCTGGTGGAAAGTGAACAAATAAGAACTTCCAAGTTAGGCTCTCCTCTCAAGAAAGTATTTATGTGCTCCACCTTCTTCAGTAGAGAGTGAGATAATTTTTAGTGTAGGTGGCAATATATACTCGCCAAAGAGAAACCGGTTAGAACCAACAACTAGAGAGATGCTTATGTTTTTGCACTATAATTTGCGAGTGCTTCAATTTGACTATGATTAAATGCATATTCTTACTATCAAGTACTATCAACTGATTGAACTGAATGAAATTTTTCTCATTAAAATGGAATTATTTATATTATTTTGAACTCAATACTACAATGTAGTAATTATAATTATTTTATTTTTTGTTTGGAATTAAACAATAATAATAATTATACCTTTTCTCAAAAAAAATTTATATAAAATGGTATTTTGTGAAGGTAAACTTTTTCCTATTTTTTATGTACATGAATAATAATTTCTTATGTATATTTAATATACAGTTTTTTATATACATATTTTGAAATTTTTATCAAAGGCACTAGCTACATCTTTGTATTATTAAAATGGAATTATTGATAGATGTGTTTATATAACACCATTCCAAGACATTGTTATTTAGCATATTGTAAAGCTTCAATAGCAAGTTGATAAACTTTTCTAATCAATTCTCAACTTTTATATTAATTTAATATGTTAATACCTGGGCACAGTAATACATGTAATAATGGCTAGGAATCGGAATCGTATCGGTAATCGGGATAATTGGGTAGAATCGAAATCGTTAAAAATTTTGGTATCGTCCCATCACTAATGATTGTCAATCATTCGTTTTTATCCTTAGCAAAAAATTCACTTTTCATCTTTAAAAATCTAAATCAATTTTTAAAAAAGCATGAGTTCAATTATTGAGTTCTGCCCCATTTCTTAGGCTTAAGATTAAGATGGGGTAAACATTAAAGTAAATTAGGCAGGATTGGGTTAAATGTTAATGTATATCTTAAATATTACTGAATTGGTTGTCTTTTATTTTGCAGAGGTTTATGATGTTGATGATGATGACGACGATGGTGAGGATGATGATGGTGAAGGTAAGGATTTTATATATGCCACCATTTAACCTATATGATGAAAACAAGGTTATTAGACATGAATTGATATATACTTTTTAATACATGTACCCATTTTTTTTTTTTTACTGGACTTTTGATTTATTTTGCCAAAATTTACTTTCGGGAAAGTTACTGCTGTCACAATTTAGAGCAGTTGTCTGTAATTTTCATACATTTACACTCCTTGTAGCATTTTTAGAAATATTTTTAGGGTGGGGGGGGGGCAGAGATATGTTTTATAAATCCTTCAGGTTAATTGGTATATATTCATCAATGGCAGGTTTCAAGGGTTGTGATTTTACACTATCAACATGGAGCATGGTTTTACAACCTTTTCAGCATTGTGACAGCCCCTATAAAAGTTATGAAACATTTTATGCAAAGGACTTCTGTTCTTTTTTTGAATTAAAAAGAGAACTGCAGAACTTAATACATAAATTTGTGACTTTTAATAAATTATGTGATACAGTTAATGAAGAAATGAAACAGATATAAAATCATTTTTATCATAACTTAAAAGTCAATAACTCCTCTGTTCTTATAAGTTTAGCTTATCAATTTTCCTCGCACATCCTGAAATTCAAGCTTGGACCTCCTGGTGAGGAAACCATGCCCAACATAGTAAATTTACTCAAATTTTATTTTTCTTCAAAGAGGTGTCATTTAAAATGTAACTGCCGAATTCCCTCTTATCATAAATTCTTTTGCTACTGAGGTTTTCCTCTCCAAATGTGATATTTTTTGTGATGTTTATTTTAAAATTTAGAGATGCTTCAAAGTTTTTTTTAAAGGGGAGTGGGGGGGGGGGGGCAACCCCCCCCGAAATGAATAGATTTGAAAAAAATAAAAGGTACCGTTTTTTTGTTGTTTTTTTTTTAAAATTTTGGGGTGTTTTAAAATTTTTTTTAAGGGGGGGGGGGGGGGGGGGGGGGCAACCCCCCCACGAATGAATAGATTTGAAAAAAATAAAAGGTACCGGTATAATCATTAACATAATTTATACTCTTCACTTCTCAATAACTGTTATCTCTTTCTTTTTCAGATGGTGAAGATGATGAATAATAACAGTGACTTCGTGTTTGTGTTTATCCTGCCTGTTGAATGTGTGTATGCTTGAATTGTTGATATCCATGTTTTGATCTGTGTCTGCTGAAGCAGGACATAATGACTCTTATAAGTGTTCTGTGTCATGTGTCACCAGGGAACGGTCAATTTAAACGTTTTCCCTATATTTTTTAAAAAGTTGATTATTTACAAGCTAAAGATTGTTGACATTAGTTAGTACAGGTACAAGAAGCAAAGAATGGTAAGAGATAGAATGGTTAGGAGGTTAGGAGATTGCTAACACAATATTTATAATGCAAATTTAATTCCCCTGTGTTAATACAGTGGGAAATTATTAACACCTATGTTGGTCCTATAGTTTCATACATTCATTTCCCATCTTGAAACAAGATCTCAATTTACGGATACAAAAAGGGACAAATACCTGGTGACACATCAACTAGAACAGTTGTATTAGAATTTGATACTGAGGCAGCAGAGATTATTGGGTATAGTTTGATATTCATGGAACCTTGATCTTAATAAAATATGTTTTAACCACCTGAGAAGAAAGCGCTTGCTGTTATACATTAGTAAGTCTTCCTTTGTGCTCCCCAGAAATACATATGAAATTTTCATTATGTGCTATGCGAGTGACACAAATAAAGTACTTAATGGAATGTCATAGATATTATCTATCTGAATGCACATGGCAACATTTGAGTCATATCTATTTTTATGTTTTTTTACTGGACAGAGTCTCAGGTGGCTCCATCTCTATTTCTTGTAATTTACATACATGTTCAGTTTTAACTCTTTTCCTTCAAGCAGTAAAGAATTTTATGTCTAAATTTTTGTAAGTAAATTTTACCGTTTTGAAAAATAAAAGATAGTATCATATTCAGATATTTTATTTTAAATTTCGATTGCAAGAAATTGTGATTGCATGACACCCTGAGGTGTGCTTAGTCTTCCCATGAGAACCTTTAGTGCAATTATTGCAGGACGACTAAATTTTAAAAAATCTGCTTTTAGAAAACAAAATCATAATGTAAAAAGATGATAGAATATAAACAAGAACCTTAACCATCCAGTCTATGTTTTATTACTTGCAAATAAAAAGAAATGATACACTTGCGACATGTATGAATGATATATTATATGATCATATATATCAAACTTTAGATGATTACAAGGTGGAATGGTAAGTCAATATATTAAACCACCAAATTCAAAAGAGAATAGACACCCATATACACTATTTATAAATCAAGTTTTATTGTTGCATAACCCATACAAAAAATCAAACAAAGCATTAACATGAAATTAAGCCTTCTGTTTATAACCCAGTCCATCCAGTATATTCTGGTAGTGTACATAATCTTAAGTGAAAATATTGCTAGCAATAGGCAAATCACATTGATTTCCAAGTTTAACAATACACATGATTACTTTTTAGATGATGATTTAGAAATATGCGAAAATGTTTTTAATCCAACGACTTATAATGCTACACTGACTTACTGCCCAGTAAAATTATTGGGGGGGGGGGGGGGGTTGTTTAAAAAATTGGTAAAGGCTCAAGATTTAGAATGATTAACCTAACTGTAAAGCAGAAAGTCAGGCTTATTTCAAAAATGAATCAACATCTAAATAAGTATAAGAAGTATTGATACTGCTGAAAGTAACTGCAATGTTATTATTGTGTAAGTTGTGGGGTATGATCTTGGCAGATGAGGATTGACCTGATGACTTTTGTAGACACAATGTGATGTATGTTTGTTAAATTTGAGTGTTTTTGGAAAACAACAAGAAAAACCTTAACTCTGCTTGTCTGCAGCATTTCCTTTGAAAAATCTCAACAAAAAAAAACTGGTAAACATAAAAAAAGAGTGCTTAAAACAAAATGTACATTGCAAAAATGATCAAATGTCAATTAAAATTATATATTGAATATTATTAGTATACTTTATATTATATCAATAGTTTGTAAAGTAAAATAACAATCCAAAAACAAAGCATGCACAACATCCTTCAATGCTCCATATTTTTGAATTAATTGTGTTAGAGCGGAGCAGGACTTAATATGGGATGGACTAGAGTTGACTTCAAGTAAGTTTACATTTATCACTTGATTTTCGGTGAATAAGGTAACTGAGCTTCACAACAGTGAGTGGTCACCCCTTGAATAGCTTTCAACTATTCCTGTCCTTGAATTATCATAAAACTTAAAAAGCATTTCAGGTGAGAGTAAAACAGGTGGGACTAATAATAATAATGAAATTGAATCTAGTTAACATAAGACAAAAAAACTCACGAGATAAGTAACTGATAACTGGACACTCATGACCTGCTTAACAGGCTTGGCTATATACTAACAGTAATGACAGTACCATTGTGAACAGAGCACACAAGACATTATTCCAATTCAAATAGAAACAACTTCCTACCACAGAGAACAAGCAACCACTTGGATTAAATAAATATTGATTATAAATTTTAATCTTTTCATTTTATGAGGCTGGACCTTTGCCATGGCATGTAACTGTAAACACAGAGCTTAGTTTAACTATAACAGTTACATCCATTGCTGGGGACTACTACACGGCAACACATTAGAAACATGTACAGCTAGGACATCAAAGTATTCAAAGAACATAACCACAAAGAAATAGTTAACAATCTTCCAGTGAATGCTCATTGATCATATTCTTCTTTTTAATTAGCCAAAAATTATTGTCAGAAAAGTTAACAACTTGCATAACATTAAAATTGGTAGACAGAAGTCCATCAAAACCATGTTTAGTGCGAGAATTTAGGCGATAAAGGGTAGTATGATAATTTTGGTTAATCTAAATTTTTTAATTTTTCAATTAAAAAGTATAATTTTTATGCCCTGAATACATTTAAATTTCATTGTTCATTCCTAGAGGTAGCGGCATGCCGGCTGTTAACCCTGTCATCTCTCAGCAGGCCACACACTGGAAACAATCTAGAACTCTGACCTGCGTATATGTGTGATGTGTTTGAAACTTGCATGAAAAGCGTTGGTGATCTCACTGCACTAGATTAATGGTAGTCAAGCTGTGTGGGACTCTACAATGGAAATCTCATAGATAACCTGCAATAATTTGGGTAAAGCAATTTATTGACAGAAACAAATGTTGGTGACAAAAACAGGCTTTCACGTTCTGAACTGTTGGTGCATCACTTATGTCAAAAATTACATCCCTAATAAATCATCGCTTATGTCAAGTACTAAATAAGAGCTTTGGCCTTGGCATAAATTTAAAGATATCTTAGATACTATCATTTTAAAAGCCTGGACTCGAGGGAACTAGCCCCAAAATGTTATTACCAATACTCCTTTCCAAAAAACTACAGGTCTACATGCCTGCGGTTACTACCCCCCTCCTTTATGGCTCAGAGACCTGGTTGATATACATAAGCCACATGAAGGTTGTGGAGCATTCTTAGCAACCATGCCTGGAGTCTGTCATGGGCTTAAAATGGCAAGATGACATTACAAACAAGTAGGTGTTAGTAGAGGCCAGTACTGAGGGCAGGCAGACAAGCTGTGCAGAGGAAAGCCAAAAAATAATTGCTCCAGCACCAGCTCATGCAAGCATCTAAGGTCTGTTGACCTTTGGGACTGAATTAATTCCCTTTTAGATAAAAACTGTCTATAAATGTAGATGAGAAGGTCCAGAATCTCCGGGCATATAATTCACACCTAATGAACTTTGAACAAATGACATCTATCTATGTCAAGCAGTGTGAATAATCAAGTACTGATACTGTGCGTCCACAATAGTCACGTACTGTGTACACAATAGTAAGTACTGTTTTTACACAATAGTCTACATGTCTGGGAAACTGGGAACGTATATGATGTTACCCCACACCCAGGCCCAATTTGAAGGAACAAAATCATGCCTTATTTAAATTACTAATGGTTATTGAATCTATTTCATCAGAATAGTCTTATTAACATAAAAAGTAAAACAGAAATGTGAGTAAATAATTTAATAAAATACTTATTATGTAACAAAAGAATGGTTCACTTCAAATTTGGAAGTATGACATAAGAATCAACTCTTTATTTTATAGCTAATTTATTAACTATTTTTATTAACCTAATTAAACAGTACGTGGGTCGACTATAAAGCTAAATTTTGTGTAGAATATTAATTTCTCTCATTACTCATCCAATTTATCCATTGAACACAGTCACAACTGAGAAAGAAATAGCAAAAAAAAGACCATTTCCTAATTTGTTATATTTTCTCCAATATTCAGGAAATGTGGCAGAAATATATCAGACCTGTTTACTCTTACGATTTAGGCGTACAATGTACGATTTTAGGTGTATACATTATATGTACCATGTTTATTTTGTTACTATTAAGATAAAGTGTTGAAGGATTTTGTGATGATATTGTACGATTTTAAGACTTTTATGGTAAACAGGTCTGATATATGGAACCAGGTTAAATTATTTAGGGATATGGAGTTTAAATGAACATAATGAGATGACATTAAATTACAATTACAAGCAAACCTCTTTGATTATCATTAAATGTCTTAGATTTATTAAAGCAAAAATTGGGAAAAAAAGAAGAAAAAAGGTCATGCTGATTAGTTAATCAGCCCAGTCGGGTGGAGTAAGATGATTCACATTTTTATTAGATACAGATTCATGGAACAGTCAATGACAACACATGTTATCTAGCCTACATCAACTTGCTTAAACACAATAAACATCGAGATATATCACTTTCATTGAAACTTATATAATTATATGTGTACTATATATTATTTATGGAATTCCCTGTATTGAGATGGTCAAGACAACACAACTTTAGATTGATTTATTTGAAACATATGTCTTTTTTTCACTCAAAAAAAAAAAAGTACACGGTAAATAAATCATGTGTATTGTGTAATCAAATACATTGCAGGTTGGAGTAATGTAAGATGCATATACTTCATGTTCAACAGAACATATTTAATATAATTGTTGCTGTAAGTTTTCACATGTCTCAATCACATACCAATCAAAGATGAACCAGAGGCATGACATGCTAAGCTAAGTAAAATGTTTATGTAAACGTAAAGCACACACACAAATAAAGGAGCGTTGATCGTTCAAATAAAATCACACAGGAGAGATAATGTGGTGCACCGCTCATCTCTGTACATACACCAAGCTAGAAAAGACATCCTCAAGAAAATCATACATCAACAAATGTTAACTTTAAGTAGAGCAGCCATTTTATTTATTAGATTGGTAAAATTTAAGTTCAACCTAGAAGCTTTATCAAAAGCATATTTAAATTTATAAAAAAAACTATTTACATACGGCCTAATTTGAACAAAGCTAGAATGTTATTCTTCACTCTATGAATCTGGCAGGGTTAAAGCTTGACTTACTTTCTCATTTTCAATAAACAAATGTTACAATAAATTTTTACCTGCACAATAAATATTTTTCTTTAAATTTAAAAGTCATGCTATCAATTTTTAGCCATTTTTTCTATACCGGTAGTCCTCTTCCACCAAACACCCTGCTTGCATAAGATCAACACCACTTTATATGAAAGGATACATAAAACAAACTGTTGGGTTGCAGCTCCACAATTATTTGAACATTAACTTGTTTAAATAAATCTTTAAATATACACTCACCATAACAAAAAAAAAATAAGGCCACCAAGCAAACAATTTAATCCATTAAAATAAAAATGGATAAAAATCAATAACCAAAAATAAATTTGAAAAAAAAATAATTAAAGAACAGAAAAGAAATAAGTCAATCACCAGACAGTTCAGTTAGGAAACATAGGTGATCTTTGAATTTTAAAAAAGAGGTCATGAGACAAGGTCAAGGACAATGTGACACACAAGATAATCAGGTGCATCACAGCCTATATTTGGTTCAGTTGCAGCATACAATAGGTTCAAGTGCCCTGTTAATCTATAATCATTTCAACAATACAGAAACTTTTAACTCATTTAGATTCTACTTTGTTTTGATTTATTAAAGAAGACTTGTGATCGCTTTAAGTTTACAGCCAGAATTATGATGGAATAAGTCACAAAATGAAGATGTTCAATAACTTGTTCTAAATTTAAAAAGTTAAATTAATTCTTTGGAAAAGGAAAGAGAACATAAAATTAATTGAAAAGTATAAATCAAATTGAAAAAACAAACCAAAAAAAACTGAAAATAAAACCAAAATATAAATGCCAAGATGCTCATAAGATCTAGCTGGGATGGGTTAGTTCAAGACAGGGGTTGATGGGATAGATGAGTTCAAGACAGGGCTAGATGGATTGGGTAGGGGATTCTACTTACACCAGACAAAGGTCTTTCAGCTGCCGGCCCAGGTAGCTAATACACATTCCCAGCAATGGGGCTGTGTTGGCCTAATGGAATACAGCACAATTGTTTACCAGGATTGCATCAACAGGATAGAAACATTCACATTAGAAATACATGCTGTTAAACACCGGATAGTTTCTTATAATAACACCAGTGCAAGAAAACCTCATGTCTCAGTAGTTGCACTAGTTTAGTAGCATTCAGATTTTTTTCCACATGCCTTGCCAATACTTCTAACATCCCATCAATTTAAAGCCTAACATATATGCACATACTAATTTGTGGATTGATGGTATTTGCCAACAAATTTAAAAATGAAACAAGACCTTTTTAAACCATATAAATANTATATATATATATATATTATATATATACACATGTAAGTCTCCAAGGGAAGGAATTCATATTGAAAGGAATCATTTCCCTTAAATAACAACCATAAGACTGTAAAAACAAATGTAAATTGGGTGACGTTTTTCTTTAAAGCTGGTTGCAAGGGCGAACTTCACATTGATTGTTGCAAAGTGACCATATTTTTTTAAAACTAAGCCTAAATAATTCAAACGTCATGTGGTGGACCAGTAGCCTCTTGTTTTGTGGACTGGTTTAGTGTTAAAAGTGCAACAAGAGATGGGTAATGAGAAAATAAAATCTGATTGAACAAAAAAAAAATAATTAAGCATTGCATCATCCATTTCCAAATAAAACACACAGGTCCAAATTAGAGGAAATATTTGCAATGTCATAGAAGAGAATTCAGCTGAAAACTAACAGGACAGGACAAGGCAGAACATAGAACACCACAGCTGACATTAGGAACACCTGGTCCTTAAAATGAAATAACACATTTCATGAACCAACACCCACAGCTGAAACACTGAAGCTTACAACACAACAATCAACATTTTCCCTGTTCATAAGAGTGCTGATGATTGATGCAACAAATCCTGCACCACGTAAGGGGGGGGGGGCGCCAAAGACATGTTACAACATCCAACTTGCAGTGTCTAATAGACACCATCTTACATGCGTCACGACAGACCCTTTGTGGAGGTCAGTGGTGGACACGACAGACCCTTTGTGGCGGTCAGTGTGGATATGTACAAGATGGAACAGTGGCACATGAGCATGACTAATGCATCTGGAAAATGCACAGCTACTAGTAAGTACTAGAACATGTAGACACTACCCATACTGGTACACATACAGGCTGTGCCACTTTTAAGTACAATTACACAGTGCACGGCTTCTTGCTAGTACATGTACACACTGGCCTAATACTTTCCTATGGAGAAAACAGGAACTGCAAAAGAGAAGAAACAAGACAGAGGTCACATGACTGAAGTCACATGACAAAACAGGTAAGTCGTAAAAACCTTAACACTACAAGTAGTAACATCTCATGTATAATGTTAGACATCTTGAAATGAAATCACATGGTGTTGATCTCCATGAAATTAACACAAAGTAAATGGGATGTGAGCACTAGAGAGACAGTGAGAAAAGAGAGAGAGAGATGAATATTGGGGAACCATATTTGAAAAAGCCAATAGGAGAACAAGGTATGTGGAAGCTTGAAATAGAAAGACACGACGAGGAAAAAAAAAAGTTTTGCCTCAAAACTTTCCCCCCAGCAGACAGTAGGAATGAAGAAATAACAAGAAATAGAAAGTAGTTATTGTTATTTCTTCATTTGTCCCATCTGCTGAGGAAGGATTTTAGCCGAAATGTTCTTTTAATGTCCCGTCTTTCTATTTCCACCCTTCACATACCTTGTTCTGCTATGTCCTTCACACAGCCTGAACGTATGAATGTAGTGGTTAATTTATTATCCTTTGAAGAAGCAGATTTAATTGAGCAAGCAACGACAACATCCTGACGTCAAAAGGCAAAGCAGAGATGGAAGTAAAGCTGCACGGTCTAAAAATATGGAAAAACAGTCAAAGTATTACATGCATCTCACACAGGCTATCAC